CGAACTTAGGTTTACGGGACTTTCTCTCTACAACAAGCTTTGAGGACTTCTTTGCAATGGCTTTCTGAACCCCAGCGAGTTCACAAATTCTCTTAATGAGAGGAGAATCCATGTACTTCATTTCAACAGCATCACAAGCCTGGTTGTAACTCAGGATCTGATTGTCCAGCAACTCCATGTGTTGTAATAACAGACTCAGATGTGAACTCTGATATCTCTGGTTGGGGCCCAAAAACCTTTGATCATCTAACATAAATATTAAGAAAACATTTATTCTTTCAAATTGTGTAATTAAAACAAATGTGAAACAAAAAATTCTAATATTACTTGCAAAAAGTTTTAGAATTTCAAAAATGCAATTAATGCCTTTACAGACATTTGACACAATCCAAATATTTTTCAGGCATTTCAAAACATTAAATATTAGGTTCACAGGTGTATATAGTAGAAACCAGACAAGTTTTCATTCTTTTCGTAATTTTTTCACTATTCAATAATTTTGATGTTTGCATTTTATCATAATTTTAATCATAATTGGGCAGGGTAAGTTATAACAATCCAATATTGGAGTTTCCGTACTGAAAGGATAATTACGGACACCGCTGCGCAATTCTCTCTTGGTGCAAAAGGGTTAATGGCCAGATCATGGTCTTGTGGATGGTCTATCTTGGACTACTTGACACTTGAACTAGAAACTCAATTTAATCAAAGGGTTCCTAAGATCCCCCTGTTCTTAAGAAAGCTAGATTTTATATCAGTTCTAGTAAGATTACTGGTGCTCAGACTGGTCCTGCACTCTGCACAGACCTATGTTTTCGAAAACTACAGAAGCTTAGATCTGGTTATAAGGTCTAGACTACCTGACAGATGTAGGAGGGCAGAAGGGCTAAGATTTGATCTTTACAAATTGATCGTGTCCTAGGGACAAGTAAATCTCTGTTTTTGATTGTACAAACATTTTTATTTTTACATATAATGTGAAGGTTTAATAAAATAAACTACTTAGTTTTTAAAAAACATGTAAACTATTTGAATAATGAAACTTTCCAATTCCCCCCCCCCTTTCAGAATATACATTCTAGGTGTTTTTAGGACCTAGTTGCTGGCAATCTTGTGTTCAAGGACCTGGTGAAGGGAGGGTTTCTGGAATACCTGGATGTGAATGAGGAGAATGATAGTAATATTGCTCTGTATGAAGCTGATATTGGACCCTCTACTACGCATCTAGAGATAGAACCCTTTACATTACTAGGTAGGGAGGGGGTATATAGGACCCTCTACCATTTATCTAAAGATAGAACTATTCACATAACTAGGGAGGGAGGGAGGGGGGATATAGGACCCTTTACCCTTCATCTTGAGAAAACACTTCAAATTACTAGGTAGGAAGGGAGGGATATAGGACCCACTACCTTTCATCTAAAGATAGAACCCTTCACAATACTTCACATTCTTTGTTATAAATTAGCATTGTAATACCTAATTTCAAAAGCCATAATAATGTCTGCTAGAGTTTATTTTATGAAAAGGGTAAAAGTCTGTAAACAAACATGTGGATATAATGTCTTCGCAAGATGAACAGTGAAGACGGACAAGTTTACTCTGTTTGTATAATGCAATTTTCTTGTTTTTCTAAGTACAACCAAATGCAGTCAAAACATAGACAAACAAAATGTGAACATAGCAGACGAAACTCTTACAAATTACAGCTTTCTCAGTATGTATCACTATACCAAATCAAAGAATTATCTAGAAAGAAGATATCGAATTTGCCAATGAATTCCCATGTTTATTGAGAAACCCTGTACCTAAGGTAGGGAGGGATATAGCACCCACTACCTTTCATCTGAAGATAGAACCCTTCACATTGCTAGGTATGGAGGGAGGGGGGATATTGAACCCTTTACCCCTCATCTAGAGAGAACACTTCAAACTATTATAGGTAGGTAGGGAGGGATATAGCACCCACTACCTTTCATCTGAAGATAGAACCCTTCACATTACTAGGTAGGGAGGGAGGGGGGAAATTGAACCCTTTACCCCTCATCTAGAGAGAACACTTCAAACTACTATAGGTAGGTAGGGAGGGATATAGCACCCACTACCTTTCATCTGAAAATAGAACCCTTCACATTACTAGGTAGGGAGGGAGGGGGTTATATTGAACCCTTTACCCATAAAGGAAGTGTTCGCAAAAAATTAAAGGGGGTAAGCTAACGCCAAAAAATATGTGATGGTGATTGCTTCTAATCTTACTTCTATTTGTCATATATAAGGAGAAAATTGTTAATCACAACTGATACCGAAGAATGTAGAATCCATACAAATTTAGAAAGTTGCAATATTCTACTCTATTCTATTCTAATCGGGAGGAGGATAAGTGCCCACTTTTACACAGCAGCTGACATTTTATTTTCTTACTTCTATCTGTTGCATCTATAAGGAAAAAATTGATACTGAGACCGAAGAATGTAGAATCCATACATATTCAGAAAATTGCAATATTCTCTATTCTATTCTAATCGGGAGGAGGATAGTGCCCACTTTTACACATCAGCTGACATTTTATTTTCAGGTGTTTGTGCTGGTCTAATTCCCTACCCTCACCATAATCAGAGCCCTAGGTGAATAAAAAGGTTCCTAAAAAATATCGGAATTCTTAATTAAAGATTAAAGGGATTGCTTACTTTTTTTAAATACACATAATATTCTAAAGTTTGCTTTTTTATCACAAATAAATACTGAAACCCGTGGTTTTCTAATTGAACAATAGACAGAGATGTTTGCACATTTTGGCGCTCATGGACACCTTTGAGCAGTAAGATGAACAGAGTTGTGATATGTGTTGATAATCGTTTTGGTTCCTTTTTTGTTTTATTTTGTTCTTGTTTTGTTTTATTTTGTTCTTGTTTTGTTTGTTTTCAGTTCATTCTTGGTTCTTGTTTTGTTTGTTATCAGTTCCTTTTTTTCTTGTTTTGTTTGTTTTCAGTTCGTTTTTGTTCTTGGTTTTTTTGTTTTCAGTTCGTTTTTGTTTGTTTTCAGATCTTTTTTGGTTCTTGTTTTGTTTGCTTTCAGTTCGTTTTTGGATCTTGTTTTGTTTGTTTTCAGTTCGTATTTGGTTCTTGTTTTGTTTGTTTTCAGTTCGTTTTTTCTTGTTTTGTTTGTTTTCGGTTCTTTTTTGTTTCTTGTTTTGTTTGTTTTCAGCTCGTTTTTGGTTCTTGTTTTGTTTGTTTTCAGTTCGTTTTTGGTTCTTGTTTTGTTTGTTATCAGTTCCTTTTTTTCTTGTTTTGTTTGTTTTCAGTTCGTTTTTGTTCTTGGTTTTTTTGTTTTCAGTTCGTTTTTGTTTGTTTTCAGATCTTTTTTGGTTCTTGTTTTGTTTGTTTTCAGTTCGTTTTTGTTTCTTATTTTGTTTCTTTTCAGTTCGTATTTGGTTCATTTTTTGCATACATTTTTCCTCTGGGACAGAAAATCGTTATGGGTTAGGTTTTCCATTTTTTTCTGATTAAATTTTATTTAAATGAACTAAAAAAAAACAACAACACTGGTTGTGCTCCTAAAGTCAAAAATTTGGGTTTTATGTGTAAATTGAACTAGGTGAACACTCCCTTAAACAAACGTAGCAAAATTGTGAATCTAATTGTCTAGGAACACTTATCAATGCGCTATGGGAAAGCAGGCTATGGGAACTATTGCCTTGAACCAGAAGAATAGAATTGATACTCTCATGTACAATCTAGTATATCCTATGCGTCCTATGGTCAAATCTAGAACAATTGAACTCATTTTGTATCATATTCATTGGAAAAATTTAAAACATAAATTGTCTCGTTTTCCACAGGTTTTTGGGCCTTACTGCAATTTATATCTCTTCAATGTTCATTGCAAAATGTGATAACAAATCTTTATAAAGGGACTGTAAGCATAATTGCAAGTGACCCATTCAAAGAGGGGAATGTCCGATTAACAACGGTTCCCTTAAAACCTGTGTGCGCTGTGTACATACAGTTTCAAAGACAGAGCACCGGCATTTTCAGCTGACTGCAAGCCTTTAGGTAACTTTGCACGCACATATCTCTGTATACAACGAACATACAATGGAGGGTCACTTGAATTTACGCTTACAGTCCCTTTAAGAAACTATCATTAAAATGATCAAATGATATTATCTTTAGTTTGTTATATACTATTTTTTTTATTATTGTAGGATCTACCTGCCGGTCAGAATGCTATTGTAGCTGTAATGTCCTACAGTGGATATGATATTGAAGATGCCATTATTCTAAACAATGCTAGTTTAGGTAATATGCAGAAATACTTAAAGATCTAAACATTCTTTTCTGAAAATTTTCATAATCCCTCCCCCCCCCCGCCTCTGTAGTGTTAAAATTAACTTCCTTAAGACTATGTGCGAATCTCAGCGGTACCTTTTAAACCTAAATTAAATTTTCTCCACGGTTTTTGTAAAGCAGAAATGCACAAATCACTTTATAGAGAAACCACAATTCAGCCGTTTAAAAAGGTTGCACCAATTTCAAGACAGGGTCGACTTTAAAGTGTCGTAACGTCTTAGGCTTTGATTTTACCGCTCTTACTCATTTATGGCTTCTTTTAGCTCATGAGACATGTATATTGTATACATCTTTGAACTAAAAAGAACTTGTTTTTAGTTATAGTCTAAAAGAATTATTTTGCAAAATTTTAATCGATTTTGCGTGAGAACTTTATATCCCAGGGAATAAAAGTAATGTAAGTTATAATGAGAAGTTGATAATTATCTCATACTGTAGTGATCAGACAGAGTTTTTAAAGGTACTGTTCTAAATCGGAGATGATGTTTCAAAAATGGAGGATCACTTAAATTTACGGTTAGAGTCCCTTTAAACAAATAATTTTCTAGATCGTGGATACGGAAGATGTCTGGTGTACAGGAACCAGAAGTGTGCTCTGAAAAGGTATGCAAACCAGACCTCTGACAGGGTCCTGGGACCTCTGGTGGACGCGGAGACTAAGAAACCTATATTCCGTCATGAAAGCTTAGATCAGGACGGAATATGTGCTACAGGAAGCAGAATGTTTAATAAACAGGTATTTTACACATTATATAATAATAATATACATTTGTATTTGTTATTATTGCTATTATTATTATTATTAAAAGACAACCCGTCATTCAATGAAGTAGGGGTTGGCGCTCCTCTCCGACCTAACGTTTCCAAGGATAATGTTTCCATTACCCCGGTAGGAGACTTATTGCTGGGCGGTTGCCGGTTATGAATGTATCCTCTATTGGCAAACCCTGGAAATCGAAGACGACATTCATCTTATTACTTAATCTTTTAGTAAACATTTATTCAACCTAAAAATTATGAAGTAAAATTATGACGATGTGTAACTGTACACCATGAACAACTGAACTCTATTTCATAATTGTTTATTGTAACAAGAGATAAATTAACTGAATATTGTACTCTAGGTGCTTATCAACAAGTGTATGCCAACTGTAACAAGGGATATATTAACTGAATATTGTATTCTAGGTGCTAATCAACAAGTGTATGCCAACTGTAACAAGGGATATATTAACTGAACCTGGATTGGTTCGACCTAATCAACCAGCAGAGTTTANAACAAGTGTATGCCAACTGTAACAAGGGATCCATTAACTGAATATTGTATTCTAGGTGCTAATCAACAAGTGTATGCCAACTGTAACAAGGGATCCATTAACTGAACCTGGATTGGTTCGACCTAATCAACCAGCAGAGTTTAGAGAAACACCAATCACATACAAGGTTCGCACACTAACTCTAGTTCATTTTAAGTACCTCTGACCTCTGACCTCTGGCCTCTGACCTCTGACCTCTGGCCTCTGACCTCTGACCTCTGGCCTCTGACCTCTGACCTCTGACCTCTGAGTAACCACAGAACTTCTTTCCAAATTTCTCCTCATATTCTCCATATCTGCATTTTTTTATTGGTTATTAACTTTGAATTGATTTTACAGCAGAATTTTGTTGGTTTTCTTGGGATTTGATCAGGCCCTTTCAAATGTCCCATCTTGTGTGAGATCTCAAAAATTGCAGATATTAAAATTTCTCGATCTAATAATAAACGTTGATCCAATTTTTAAGCATTTTTGATGATCTTTGAACCATTTTTAACTGTTTAGTAATTTGTTAATTCTTGCATTTCAATTTATTTTGTTTGATTTGTTTTCAGGGTCCTATCCCGTCCTATATCGAGAAGGTGATGTTGACCTGTGACGGGAATGATGCGACCCTGATCAAGATCCTGCTCCGACAAACCCGGAGACCAGAGCTCGGAGACAAATTCTCCTCTAGGCACGGACAGAAGGGAGTTACAGGGCTCATCGTGCAACAGGAGGATATGCCGTTCAACGATCAGGTTAATTTTGTTGAATTCGTTAGAGACACTGTTGCAGTACTTTATTTAAAGCGACTGTTGCAGTACTTTATTTAAGGGGACTGTTGTAGTACTTTATTTAAAGGGACTGTTGCAGTACTTTATTTAAGGGGACTGTTGTAGTACTTTATTCAAAGGGACTGTTGCAGTACTTTATTTAAAGGGACTGTTGTAGTACTTTATTTAAGGGGACTGTTGCAGTACTTTATTTAAAGGGACTGTTGTGGTACTATATTTAAATGGACTGTTGTAGTACTTTATTTAAAGGGACTGTTGCAGTACTTTATTTAAAGGGACTGATGCAGTACTTTATTTAAAGGGACTGTTGTGTTACTTAATTTAAAGGGACTGTTGCAAGACTTTATTTAAAGGGACTGTTGCAGTACTTTATTTAAAGGGACTGTTGCAGTACTTTATTTAAAGGAACTGTTGTTGTACTTTATTTAAAGGGACTGTTGCAGTACTTTATTTAAAGGGACTGTTGTGGTACTTTATTTAAAGGGACTGTTGTGGTACTTTATTTAAAGGGACTGTTGCAGTACTTTATTTAAAGGAACTGTTGTGGTACTTTATTTAAAGGGACTGTTGCAGTACTTTATTTAAAGGAACTGTTGTGGTACTTTATTTAAAGGGACTGTTGTGGTACTTTATTTAAAGGGACTGTTGTGGTACTTTATTTAAAGGGGGTGCATGTCCAGTTCACAACTGTTCCCTAAAAATCTAAAATCTCCTGCAGTAAGTTCAAATATATTTATATTTTTTATTTCAATATTTTGTTTAATTTGGTTTATGCTTACTTCAGAAAAATATATGAATTGATTTAATTTGAATTTAGCAAAACATTGAGATATTGCTTTTTCTCTTTTAAAGTGATTTGTGGAATTATGCAGTAGAAACAAGGAAAGAAAATTGAAAAAATTTCCCTTTTTTCAAGGCATTGTATACGTAAAAAATATCCCAACAGTCCCTCAAACTTGTTCCCCTCTTTTTCTTTTATGACGGAAAACACAGAAATTAAAATATCAAAATTTTTGACTTTTTGAAATTTAAATTGGAGGCGTTGCATCTATGACATTTTTCAATATCTCAGTAAATAATGGTGTTAGCCGGTTCTACTTTTGCATGTATACGCTTTTGATGCTCTAGGAACAGGATATGACGTCAAATCTTCAATGTCTTCGTTCGGAGACCGGAGATATGGGAAAATGTACCTCCGTCGGCTCCGATTTTTTATCTCCGGCCCTAATGAACTTACAGAGCCCAAATTCAACACACATACACCTAAGGACCTATATAATTTAAAGAAAATTTTATCGCTAAACATTTTTAACTATTATGATTAGGGAATATGCCCGGACATGATCATGAACCCCCACGGGTTCCCGAGCAGAATGACGGTTGGGAAGCTGATGGAGTTGCTGGGAGGGAAGGCCGGGGTTCTCAAGGGGAAATTCCATTACGGGACTGCATTCGGTGGTTCGAAGGTAAGCTATTTTTATACCTTGAGGTATAGCTACAAGATGAAGGTAGAAGGGTCAGTGTGAACATTTTACTTTGACTTGTTAAGACAGCTAAGAACTGCTAAGTGTTACGTATCAAAACTGTTAAGAACCGGTTATATCAAAGTTTGTAATGTTGGAGTCTCTTTGGGCAGAGCAGGAGGGCTTAACGATTCTAGTTTACTTACAAAAAAACCAAGATTCTGAGCCCTAGTAAGATACAGTGAAGTTAAACAATAAACAATCCCTCTTCCCACCCATTGAGTTGAATACATGTATCAATTAATAAAGTAGATCTCTGTCTGTTAATTGGGTTTTATGTCCCATCATAACTCGGGAACCCCTTGAATCAAATATATGTTTTTAGTGGAAACCTGCAGTAAGTGATTAGTAGTTCTAGGTCTATAGAGGGGGGCAGGGGGTAAATAGTTCTAGGTCTATAGAGGGGGGCAGGGGGTAAATATGACTTTTAGCAAGAATATTAATAATGATGATAATAACCGGACCCAGCTAATCATTTTAGAGGATGCCAATTTATCAGACGAATAAAACTATCTGAAAAATGCAAATTTAAATTTTAAATATTTTAAATTTTCAGGTTAAAGATATTAGTGAGGAGTTAATAGAGGCAGGATATAATTACCAGGTTAGACTCACATATTTTTTTTTTAAATACTTTTTACTAAAAAAAAGTCGCTTATTTTCTCCGACCAAAAAAAAATTTGCAACAATTTTGGAGAAAAAAAATTTAGAAATATGTATTCAAGAAAATGGGACAAATGAATGATTTGAAAAATGTTTATTTGGTTAAATGTAAACTTGGGAATGTAAGTATGGGAAAACGTATATTTTGAGAAAATATGTACTTGAGAAAACATTTAATTAGGAAAATATATATTAGGAAAATGTTTATTTGGAGAAATATAAAAAATATATATTTCGTAAAATAGACATTTGAAAAATGTATTTTTGTTGAGAGTTTATATTTAGAAAAGTTTATAATTTGGAAATGTCATTTGGGAAAATGATAGAAAATATTTTAAAAACATTATTTTGGCAAATGGATTTTTTGGAAAATGTACATTTTGATAATTAATGCCTTGCGCAAAAGTGATGAGGAAAGATCTTAACATCTTATTCCATGGACTTCTACGGAATAATGGTTTATCGCTTGTTTGTTTAGTTTCAAAACTACGAAAAGACGACATGTTCTGATAATAACTTGTACAGGGCAAGGATACCCTGACATCTGGTATAACTGGTGAGAGCCTTCAAGCGTATATCTACCATGGACCAGTTTACTACCAGAAACTCAAGCATATGGTCATTGATAAGATGCATGGTCGGTCAACCGGACCCAGGGCTGTACTCACTAGACAACCTACAGAGGGTAGATCCAGGTACACGATTTATTAAGAATAAGTGCAGTGGGACCTACATAAATCTTATATTACAGTATCAAATTATCATAAGATATTGTAAATGTCGCTATCAACACTTATATCAGTTTTACTGTAATTATCTATCTCGGGTAGGACTTAATGAATAACGAGATGTAGATTAACTAGATCTTGTACGGATACTTGAGCTGCTTCTCGTTTTTTGCAAAAAGTGCACCAGATAAAATATTATCTGTTAAATGTCGTATTCATTCAACATTTTATTGAGAACGGCAATATTGACTCTGTAGTTTTGATTTGTTATATCTGAGAATGTGCTCTAAACATATTTAATTTAAAGATATATCAATCATAACAAATTTTAAAGAATCTGAAGCGACGTTTCTGAACAAAAGCAAATTTCAATGCGCTTTATTATCATTATCATTGTATAACTGAAGTTCCGTGTGGGTTTCTCTTTCAGAATAGTATGCTTCTGGTGGAGAGATTAATGATATCTAGTGATGCTTTCAACGTAGAGGTAATTTAAGGTTTTTCAGGATCTTCAAAGTGAATGTAGACTTAATATCAAGTGACCCTCCGTACATTGATACCCTTTAAACATTTATCTGATGATGAATGAGATATCTTAGTTTTTCTATTTGAAAATTTATTATTTTCAATTGTGGTTTCTCTTCTGAAGTTATTTCCGAATGTGTGCAGTAAAGAATATGGAAATTGTCGGAATTCACCACCTTTTACACGAATAAAAATCTTAAGGATAGCTTTATGAATCTGACATACCATTCGGTTTATGAAAGGTCACTTAAAATTACGTCTACAATCCCTATCAGTTTACAGAACAAAGTTTAAAACTTCTGACTTTAATGAGTGATATAAATTTTGAGACATTTTCTCCTTTAGAAAATGATTTGTCATGTTATAGTAAGTATATGTATTGATATTTAAAAAAAAAATACACGTAAGTAAATAATTAAGCTAGCCCTTTAATTTACATAGCCTTTGTTTAAAATTTAACGAATAATCTTTATAAACACAAGAATTTTTTATTTATTTTTTTGGAATTTTTTATTCTATTGTTACAGGATTTTTACTAAGATTTTATTCTCTAGGTGTGCGGAGGCTGTGGTCTGCTGGCGTATTCAGGCTGGTGCCATTCATGTCAAACATCATCAGGAGTATCAGCTATTAGGTCAGTAGTGCCATTCATGTCAAACATCATCAGGATTATCAGCTATTAGGTCAGTAGTGCGATTCATGTCAAACATCAGGAGTATCAGCTATTAGGTCAGTATTGTCATTCATTTCAAACATGAGGAGTATCAGCTATTAGGTCAGTATTGTCATTCATGTCAAACATCAGGAGTTTCAGCTATTTAGGTCAGTATTGTCATTCATGTCAAACACCAGGAGTATCAGCTATAAGGTCAGTATTGTCATTCATGTCAAACATCAGGAGTATCAGCTATTAGGTCAGTAGTGTCATTTATGTCAAACATCATCAGGAGTATCAGCTATTAGGTCAATAGTGTCATTCATGTCAAACACAGGAGTATCAGCTATTAGGTTAGTAGTGTCATTCGTGTCAAAAATCATCAGTGGAATATTAAATATTATGTTTTTTTAAACTTGAATGTTGAATCAAATTGTTCTATTTTTCGAATTTTATAAAATTAGCTTTATGTATTTTGCAGAAAACATTGTTAATAATGATTAGCAATATTTAAGTGCTCATAACTTGGAAGGAAATATAGAGGCAGAAGTTTTAGCTAAAATTACAAACATTTCGCCTTTTAATGAATTATTTTGACAAATTAACAGATTTCCTCAAATTTCTTGTGAAGCATCGCCCTGAATAATTATAATATATAGAATAAACAATCTTGTGTGACAGAAACAATCTCAAGAACTGACGAGGGTCAACCCAGACTGAAATATATTTTCAATAAATGTGGAACTAACATCTACTTTTTACTCTACACCATCACCGAATTTTAAATGTTTTAGAATGAAGTATTAAATCTATTAAAATTCCTCCCATTTTTACTAATTTAATATTTTATTTGTTTAGAATCCCGTACGCTTGCAAGCTTCTGTTCCAAGAGCTCCAAAGCATGAATATAGTTCCACGTCTCAAACTAGAGAAATATTGCCAGTAGCAGAATACATCCTTGTAGTTCTCCAATTCTTCAGTTAAGATGTAGAAAGGAACATACTGCACATTGCCAACATTTTTTGCCTGCTGTGATTTTTTGTTATTTTTTCGTTAAATAAAAAATTAATATTCTTAAAAATTATATATTTGATCACTTTTTTGTTTGATATTTTTAGCGATTATATTCCAGATCCATACTGGGCACACAGTATCATAATATTCACATCCAGGATCTATATCCTCGTCATTCTCCGAACCCTCGTCCTCGGTAGCTTCCGATCCTTCATCCAAGGTAGTATCCGATCCTTCATCCTTCTCTGTGTCTAGACTATTCTCTCCAAATTCTTCCACTGTCGCTCTGTAAAAAAGCATATTTGGAACACTAGTACTTTTTATGAACCCTATTTTTACTCAATTTTTTTCTTCAAAATGTCGTCTAAAGAGACTGCCTTGAGTGCCCATGTTGTTTTGTGGCCTTACATTTTAATATGAGTGTGCTCTTTTTACAACAGTACCCTTGAAATCTCTGTCTTATTCTTACAGAATAGAAAAAGATTACTTATTTGATTTGATAGGATTAACTTTTATTTTCTCAACCAGTGGCCGAATTTAAAGAATTTGAGCGGCGGTTTAAATTTCAGCCGTGGCTTAAATATGGTTGGTTCCACTTAAAATTGTATCAAATGTTTCAAGATTTAAGCCGGCGCTTGATTTAAACCGGGTTTTAGCAGATTCTTTAAATTCCATCTCTGTTCTTAAACAACTTATTAGTTTACTGTAGAATTTTGTTTACATTTTTTGTCGTCGTTATTTAGTAATTTAAAAAAAACAATTCTGAAATCGTATCCACACAAAAGTACAAATTTGAACGTCCACTTTGCGCTCATAAATCCTAAAGAATTTGTCCACATCACTGCATACTCAGTTCAACTACCTTACATAGCAGGTCTGTCCCTTTAAAAAGAAAGATGTCTTGCTCATCATGGATTAACTTTTATTTTCTCAACCAGTGGCCGAATTTAAAGAATTTGAGCGGCGGTTTAAATTTCAGCCGTGGCTTAAATATGGTTGGTTCCACTAAAAATTGTATCAAATGTTTCAAGATTTAAGCCGGCGCTTGATTTAAACCGGGTTTTAGCAGATTTAAACCGCGGCTCAAATTCTATAAATTCCATCTCTGTTCTTATTAGTTTACTGTAGAATTTTGTTTAAATTTTTTGTCGTCGTTATTTAGTAATTTAAAAAAACAATTCTGAAATCGTATCCACACAAAAGTACAATTTTGAACGTCGACTTTGCGCTCATGAATCCTAAAGAATTTGTCCACATCACTGCATACTCAGTTCAACTACCTTACATAGCAGGTCTGTCCCTTTAAAAAGAAAGATGTCTTGCTCATCATTGAGTATTGACCAGACAATGGCTTAAAAAGAACCGTTGTGAGCTTCAAACAGAGGGTCATTTAAAACCACGTCTACAGACTTTTTTAAAGCTTTTAACCAGTCATATATTTCTGCCGGGTCAAAGTATGAAAATTCCAAGATTTAAAATCTCGAAAATTAGATAGAAAAGGTCAAGGTGAAGAAACCTGAATTCTTGAGCGGAGCGTTGACCCCTCGCTAGAGCCTCCAGTAGTTGGCGCTCCGATATTTCATCTTCACTCAACCACCTGAACAATTTGGTTTAGAGGTTGGCGAAATCTTAGCATTTCCATCTCATGCAGGGACTATTATAGAGTGCAGTAGATGTTATATCGATGATATATATAAAACTATATCCGTGTTTATAACTTTAAAACTATGTGTGATTAAGAATGAATGAGATATCCATGTTTATAACTTTAAAACTTGACTGGCGTGGGTTCTGCTTCAGGTACAACAGAAAATATTGTTAGAATTTAAAAAGATTTACTCTGAAAAACAGCTTTATCTTCTTCATTATCGATAAGATATTGGGTACCGTCGTGAATCAGGCATGCCCACTCTATTTAAACAAAATTACGAAGATTGTCTTTGCTCCTCATTCAAGCTCCGCCCATGGTAATAAGTAATACAGTAGAACCCACAAAGAATGAGACTGTAAAGACGACCTGAAACGCTTAAAATATGACGATCCCAAGATTATATAAAGTTTTTTGCCATAAATATAATCTTTTAATGGCGTATTAAATCATGTAGCAAAGTTTACTGTTACACATTGCGTATAGTCGTCTCTAGAATATCATGCTGTGTGGTTAACGCTGTAATTAAGCGTAAATAAAACAAACAAAACATAGATATGACAGCGTGGGAAAATTTGTTGATTCAGTAATAAAACCCGATTCTAACCTAGCTATAATATGTCCTATAAACTGAGTCAGATTAGAGGAAACATCTCCCCACACTCCACCGTTCAGTCCTACAAGTAACAAAAAATATATAAATACTTGGAGTAAATTACACAATACACATTAAGTTTAATTTTGCTCAAATACACTTTCTTAGCTTTGCAAGGTTCTATAATAGTTCACATATATCCTAGCTGTACACTACAGAAATAACCTAGTTCATATATATATTCATTTCTTTTAGCTGTACAGTGTACAGAGTACATAACTAGCCTAATTCACATATACTCCTATAGCTGTACAGTTTGCATAACCAAGCTAGTTCACATATACTCCTAGCTGTACACTGTACAGAAATAATATAGTTCATATATATACTCATTACTTTTAGCTGTACAGTGTACAGAGTACATAACTAACCTAGTTCACATATACTCATATAGCTGTACAGTTTACATAACCAAGCTAGTTCACATATACTCCTATAGCTGTACAGTGTACAAAACTAACCTAGTTCACATATACTCCTAGCTGTACAGTGTACATAAATAATCTAGTTCACAAATACTCCTAGCTGTACAGTGTACAGTATGCATAACTAACCTAGTTCACATATTATACTCATAGCTGTACAGTGTACTTATCTAACCTAGTTCACATATACTCCTAGCTGCACAATGTTTAGCCCCGGCTTGATTAATATGCCAGGAGTTAAGAAGCATCGTTGCTCCAAGTCCAAGTTCATCTTTAATATCATCACGGGACATTCTGAAATACAGACAGAGGTCACCAAATGTAGAAAGAAAATTAATTTTGACCTTAGTTCAATGTTTTTTNTGATATATTCCTATATGTTGGATCTGTTGATATTATGAAAGTATGATATATTCCTATATGTTGGATCTGTTGATATTATGAAAGTATGATATATTCCTATATGTTGGACCTGTTGATATTATGAAAGTATGCTGATATATTCCTAAATGTTGGATCCGATCTACTGAAAAGTGTCAAGGAGATGGTTTGGTTCTGGATCTGTTTCTCCGGGTTCAGGTTCAGGTTCTCTATCTCCAGGTATATATCTTCTCCAGATCGTTCTTCACGTTTCCTCCGTCCTACTCCGGGAGGAACCATCATAACCTGAAGCACAGGCGCAAATGTGAAAACAATAAAGGGACTTTTTGCGTATTTTTAAGTGACTCTCAATACAAAGAGGGGAATGTCCGAATTACAACGCTACCCTTTCAACCTTTGACTGGTTATCAAGGGCGAAGAATGTTACAAATATTCCTTGAAAATCCCGAATATTTATAGAATATTCAGAATTTTGAGGAATATCTGTACATATTTAGTCAACACGGTTTTCAAAAGTTCTAATATAAATATTTATATTCTGCGACTTTTAGAAATTGAATATTAATACTTCTTAAATACAAAACAGGTTGCAAACAAAGTATTCAACAATTAGTTCATTATCTCTGATCTGGCAAAGGTTTAAAGGGTACTGTTGTGAATCAGACACGCCACTCTACAAATGGAAGGTTACTTAAAAATACACATACTGTTCCTTTAAAAGTACTGTCTAGTGTCTAGTGTCTAGTGTCTAGTATCTAGTGTCTAGTGCCTAAGTGTCTAGTGTCTAAGTGTCTAGTGTCTAGTATCTAGTATCCAGTGTCTAGTGTCTAGTGTCTAGTGTCTAGTATCCAGTGTATAGTGTCTAGTGTCTAGTGTCTAGTATCTAGCATCTAGTGTCTAGTGTCTAGTATCCAGACCATGGTAGTTGAGCTGAGAGAACATGGTATTGTAGAGAAATTTTTCTGGATTTATTTGAGACTTATAATGAGACTTTTTTTTACAGTGTATAATTGTTCAGCAAGAGCCCGAATTAAATCTTAAATTCTGGAGAGAGTATTTTGAGAATAGGTTTTTTTTAATTTTTTCAAATACGACCGTACAAAAGTGGTGGAGGAACAGGTTCAGAAAATAAAAATTAAATCTTATCCTCGAAACTTATTAATCTTATTTAGTTATCATTTTCTTTAATGTTTCATTTTTCACAAAGTTTTCCATACAGATTTCCAGGAATTTTTATTTCTAGTGTCTAGTATCTAAGTGTCTAGTGTCTAGTATCTAGTATCTAGTGTATGGTGTCTAGTGTCTAGTGTCTAGAATCTAGTGTCTAGTGTCTAGTGTCTAGTGTCTAGTGTCTAGTGTCTAGTGTCTAGTGTCTAGTGTCAAGTGTCTAGTGTCAAGTGTCTAGTTTCTTGTATCTAGTGTCTAGTGTCTAGTGTCTAGTGTCTAGTGTCTAGTGTCTAGTGTCTAGTGTCTAAGTGTCTAGTGTCTAGTATCTAGTATCCAGTGTATAGTGTATAGTGTATAGTGTCTAGTGTCTAGTATCCAGTGTATAGTGTCTAGTGTCTAGTGTCTAGTATCTAGTATCAAGTGTATAGTGTCTAGTGTCTAGTGTCTAGTGTCTAGTGTCTAGTGTCTAGTGTCTAGTATCTAGTATCCAGTGTATAGTGTCTAGTGTATAGTATCTAGTGTCTAGTGTCTAGTATCTAGTATCCAGTGTATAGTGTCTAGAGTCTAGTGTATAGTGTCTATAAGTGTCTGCACCTGATTAGCTGATGATTGTCCTGGGTTTGTATTACTCTCAGTATTACTGTTAAGATTTTGGTTGTTGGTGTTATCGTTGATGTTGTTGCGGTTGTTGTTGTTGTTGGCATTGCTCACTATAATAAAAATAGTTTCAAGAAAAAAACCTTTTTTCCAAATTTTAGAAGATGTTGTCAGAGATTGATCCTTTCTAACACAGTGAAAAATTCCTTTAATATGTTGCCTATCTTATTGTATACAGTCCCTTTAATATTATCCTAGTAGACCAATTATATTGAATACAGTATACAGTCCCTTTAATATTTACCTAGTAGATCAATTATATTGAATACAGTATACAGTCCCTTTAATATTTACCTAGTAGATCAATTATATTGAATACAGTATACAGTCCCTTTAATATTTACCTAGTAGATCAATTATATTGAATAAAGTATACAGTTCCTTTAATATTTACCTAGTAGATCAATTATATTGAATACAGTGAGAAGAAGAGCGATCAAACTAAATGTACTCATTCCACCTCCACCTAGAGATTAAATCAATTAATGAAATACGAATATTTTAGCAATCAATTAACAATTTATTGACTCAATAAAGAAATCAATTTTAATCTTTGTATTTAACTTGTAAATTTAAAAATTTGAATTTAGGTAAGGGCAAAACTATTGAGACATTTTTCAATAAAAAAGTTCAAAGTCACCTTGCACCTGTTTTTAAGTTTTCTTTGATATATTATCAACAATGATTTAACTTATTCCTATTTTCATTTTGTGTGTAAATCAAATCACTAGTATATGCTTCCAAATAAATTTCATCAAAATAAATCAAGATGGTTAACAAAATGTCCATTTAGATTTCAGAAACGTTAAATTCGTAAAAATCCCTTGGAAATAAATCAAAATGGTTAACAGAATATCTATTTTGATTCCAGAAACGTTAAATTCGTAAAGATCCCATGAAAATTAAGCCAATTATAAACAAAAAACCTTTTTTGTTTATAAGTATAAATATACTTGTCAGAGTAATAAAAAACTAGTTTTTTTGTCTTAATTAAATAAAACAATTTTTAAAATACCAAAAAAACGGATAAAAGGGTATATTCAGCCGTTGATATCCATATTTATATATCAACACGTTGTGAAAAAATGTTAAAATCTTCCCTAAATATTGATATCTGTTTTTTTAATCGTCAATTACTGAATGAGTTTTGATTTTTTCAATGTTTTCTTTAAAGTTTTTTCTTAAATAAATACTTTGCTAGAGTTTATTTGTTGCTGGTGCGAAAAAGATTTGACATTTTATATTCAAAGGGACTATACAGGCGTATAAAGAGACTCTTAATAAAAAAAATGACATTAATTCACAAGGGTATCCTTACAGGAAGTCACCGGCAATGTATGGTAGTTGAACTGAGAATGTAGTATTGTGGAGAAATTTTTTAGGATTTATTTGAGCGCAAAGTCGACTTTCAAAATCATCCATTTGGGTGGTTACGCTTTGAGAATCGATTTCTTTTAAAATTATTAAATAGTGGCGACATAAAATGAAATAAAAGTTCTACAGTAAACTAATTAGATGTTTAGGAACAGGTTGAGAAAATAAAAATTAACTCTTATCATCGAAAATAAGTAATCTTATTCAGTTATTAGTTTCTGTAATCTGTCATGGTTCACACACATTTTTTGTAGATTTTTTAGAATTTTTATTGAAAAGACGACATTTGAAGAATTTATAGAAATCTGCGAACAATAATTTAGTAAAGATTAAGTAATTCAATATAGTGATGAAAAAGAAATAATTGATTCTAACATTGATTTATTGACAAATTTCTCATGAGAAATATGTTCCTAACCATCTAATTTATTGTTTCTGTATAGAATTTGATACATTTTCGTCGTCGTTATTTATTAATTTCAAAATAGTTGTTACTTTTAATTGATGTTTCTCTATAAAAGTGACTTGCGGATTTCTTGCTGCAGAAACAATAGAGAGAAATTGTGGGAACATTTCAAGGTAGAAAAACGAGGATATCTTCTACAATGTTAATTAGAGAAATAATTTATAAATATATGTACACATATAAACACATATTCTGACGCTCAGCCTTATGAGATAATCTGTACATACAGGATCCCACATTTTAGAGGTTTTTGAAATAACTATCTATCTATTCAGTTGGATGATAGATAGATAGATAAATAGATATTTCTTAAAAACGCTGTACGCACTTCTACATTAAATATCTTTGTTCATGATAAACAATCTCTTTGATTAATTAATTTACCTCCTGCTGCTGCTCCGCAATCTGCAGCTCCCCCAGGAAACCAGAGAACAGGATCAGGACCAGGACCATCTTCTCCTCCTCCTCCTCCTGTATACCCTTCAGGATCAAGAGGTTCAAAAGCAAAGAAAAGTTGATATTTTTTTGCATCGGCTAAAATCCAACAATGATCCTTTAGTTATGAAATTTTTGAATCAATGTGTAGACCGGGGTGACTTTGGAATGTTGTACAGAGGCCCGTAGCCAGGGGGGGTGCAAGGGTGCAGGTGCACCCCCTTTTCTTCTGAAAGAGGGGTGCAAATTTGCACCCCCCTCCCTCTAGTCCCATATAAAAGAAATTATTTCATAAGTTTCTAAAATCTAGTTATAAATTATATAGCCCAAATAAGAATTGATTTCCAAACCAAATTATAATCTATTTGTGCGTTACTCATTAAAAGTGTGACGGAGTTTGTGTGTACTCTCTCAACTCATCCCCTGAGTCATGTCTCTCCTGTGACCTGTCGCAGGCTTAATAACAGTTGATCAGTACACTCTGTTGATTAAATATAAAACAACATAAAAATTTACTCATAGTCATTTAATAGTTGTTTAAGACTAATTAAAACAGTATGATTTATTAATTATATGCATAGAGTCCCATGTAAATGAAATGGTAATCTCCTGTACACTTTCAGACGTTTAGCCCCCCCTTGACCGGTGTGCTATGTTTTATGAGTCTGTTTTTTTTGAGGCATTTCCGTGGTGAGGTAATAGAAAATTAAGAACACATAAAATTAATTTATTTCACTGTAAGATAAGTACTTATATCTAAAATTAACACTCCACACTGTTAATAATAATTTTCTATCCTGTATTCCCGGGAGCACCATGACTCTGCAGATTTTTATCAATACTAAATTTATTTTATTTTATTTAATATCATCACCTTGATCACTTTTATAGAAGAAATACGCCAAAACGAACCAAACCGATTCGAAAGTTGGATCGTTATTCTTTTAATTGTAATTTCGATTTTTTTAAAAATCATTTTGATGAATCCCCCGGAAACCTTTATAATGTGAACTGCTGCTAGCTCCGTGAAGATTATTTTGCCTGAAAATTAACATCATTTTTTAGTTACTTTTTATTCATGTGTAATTATGCAAAAAACATTATTTGATATGGTTTTATAATTATAAATTATAATTTAACCGCTTTTGATGTAAGATTTGAAGAAGAAAAAAATCCAGTTTGCAAATTTTAGCGAATTATAGAAACGAATTGAAACAATTCGTCATATCATAGTTTGTCGCTGAAATATCAACATGAACAGGTTATAAAATTGATTTTAATATGTGTTTTATATTATTTTCAACCTTACAATATAATATAAAGTTAGAATTGTTGTGTTGTTAATATTGGGATCAAGTATCTTATGTGGATTAATTTAATACAGGGTGTCCCACGAAACATGACAGTATGCAGTAAAAAGCCTGTAACACCACCCGAACACCCATAAGTGTCCACAAAAAATTTCAGCCCAATCGGTCCAGCCGTCTGGCCGGATATACGCAACATATATATATACGAATGTTTTGTTTTATTGTATAGATTGTAGTCCGTTTACGGCGTTTTAATGTACATTTAGTCCGTTCTTCAAATTTAGAATTGATTATGTATAATTGTACATTATATTCTATTTTAGGATTGCCTATGTAATATTTTAATTAAAGGTTGTTTATGTACATTGTATTCATCCCAATTAGGGTTGTCTTGTTTATTTACATTACAATTAATTTTAAAGTTGTTTATGTACATTATATTCCATTTTAGGATTGTTTATGTACATTATATTCAATTTTAAAGTTGTTTATGTACATTATATTCAATTCTAGGATTGTTCATGTAAATTGAAACCGTATTTATTTTTCAGTGTTTATTTAAACATTTTTGCATTTTCTGAAAATCCAGAGTAAGCTTCTGTCATAAAACATTAAATACATATTTTTAGGTTGAAAAGTCCTTCACAGACATTAAATCTGACCCTAATGGTGAGGAAAAAAAAATAAAATTAAACATTTAAAATCGAAATAAAAATAGGTAAAAAAAGTTAAATCTTTGCTTTTTTTATTTTTCAAAATGTTTAGGGGACACTATTGGAAATATTTATGTTGCTCTCCCGGCCAATTCCTTCTACAGAATGCAATTCAGAGTCAGGTGAAAAGATAAATAATTTTTGTGTATCTTGTTTTTGTGTTTGTAACTTTTTAAAATGCAGATTTGAAAACCAATATTTTTACCAAGGTTAAAAACATTTTGAGACTTTTTGAGTCTTCATTTTAAATAGAATTATAATGAATTTGTCATATTTAGTGAGTAGACAGTATCTATTATGAGTAAAATTATAACGTTTAAAGGGACTGTAAGCGCAATTTTAAGTGACCCTCCATGTAAAGATGGCAATTCCCGATTCACAACTGTACCCTTAAAAAGCTTTTCTGATTGAGCATTAATGTTTATGATTTTAAAAACTAATTTTTTTCAATTGCGGTTTCCCTACAAAAGTGACTTGTTGTAGTGAAATGTGTAATGTGTGTGTAGTGTGTAATGTTGTAGTGAAATGTAATGTGTTTTTAGTGTGTAATGTTGTTGTGAAATGTGTAATGTGTGTGTAGTGTGTAATGTTGTAGTGAAATGTGTAATGTGTGTGTAGTGTGCAATGTTGTTGCCAAATGCGTAATGTGTGTGTACTGTGTAGTGTGTAATGTTGTAGTGAAATTTGTAATTTGTGTGAAGTGTGTATAAATACATATTGTAAAATGTGTAATGTGTGTACTGTGTAATGCATATTGTAAAATGTGTAATGCGTGTGTAGTGTGTATAAATGCATATTGTAAAATGTGTAATGTGTGTGTAGTGTGTAATGCATATTTTAAAATGTGTAATGTGTTTGTAGTGTGGGGTGTGTGGGGTCTGTCCTAGTATACGATTTTTGGACCCCCCCTTGTGTGTGTAGTGTGTAATGTGTGTGTAGTGTGTAATGCATATTGTAAAATGTGTTAAGTTCATGTATTATGTATTATGGAATTTGTAAGAAAAAGTGTTTGCCGGAAAACGACTTTAACGCTAAAGAGACAGGTATCGTAAAAAATTTAATCAAATGAACTCAAACAATTGACATTTTTTAATTGAAAACTGTTATTTTTGTAAATAACTGAGCCAATGAATAGATCTGACATAATTCGATTAATTTTTCTTAAGCTACGGATTCTCGGTTAAATTTAATAATTGTATGAATTGCTGTTGTCATAGTTTTTAATATCAAATATACAAGACAATGGTCAGGCGAGAATAATGGCGGAAAACTTGCGTTTGTTTATCAATGAATATAAAAACTTGGAAACAAAGCATTTTAATTCTGGAGCACTGAGGGGTAATGGTATGGGAAAGGGGGGGGGGGGAGCTAGTAAGGTAATATTGAAAAAGTGATAAGCAACGGAAAAAAAAGCACAAAAGGAAATGATAAGCCGAGAGTAAAAATTTAATAAGTGTTCGTGTGAAAGAATAAAAAATAAATAATATAACAGAAAAGAGATATTTTTTGTTTAAAGAACTGATCAAAATATTAATATTTTAGAGCTAAATCTGGTAGTCCGACCTCATCTTCTTCTCCTTCACATTCCATCTCTCCTCCTTCTCCTTCTACCCCTTCAACTTCTCCTAATTATACTTCTACCCCTTCTCCCTCTCCTCCTTCTACTTCTACCCCTTCAACTTCTCCTAATTATACTTCTACCCCTTCTCCCTCTCCTCCTAATCCTTCTACTCCTGCACCATCTCTTCCATATCCTTCTACCCCTGAACCATCTCCAGCCCTTCTTGCTGCTAATCGAAAGCTGGAAGGTCGAGAAGGGAGAATTCTTCAGAACGACCTAAGCACTGATGAACAGGCAAAATATGAAGATGTCCCTGAAATGTCTGATGATCTTGAAAAGGCAATTGATCTTGTTGATCATGTTGAAGCTCCTCAAATAAATGATTTTGAAGAATCAAAAGATCAGGAAGATAATCTCAAAGATTCTAACGAGACTGGGAATCTTTTAGAAATAGCTGCCCTTGTAGAAGCACCAGAAAATATAGAAATAGCTGCCCTTGTAGAAGCACCAAAAAATATAGAAATAGCTGAAAAAGAATCTGTTGGCATTATTCAGGAAATTGATAATGTAAAATCAGCTGAAATTGCGCAGCTTTCTTTTGAAAACCAAGAACCGGCTTCAAATCCAGTTTTGGCGCCAACAGCTATTCAGTCAGATGTACAGTACTTGTTGTACAATGACAATGCCTCATATCAAGAGGAAGAGGTAAAAATTCAAGATTATGACGGCAGTTAATTTAAATGAAAATTGTCTAAATAAGCAGACATTAAAAAAGTTTAAATTTTAGTCAAGTTCAAGTTTTGAGTTTTCTGTATTTTATAGATACGTTTTTTATTGCAGAGAGATAAGGGAGTATCAGAGTTTGAAAATGTTATCAACACAGACTATATTCAATCTACAGGATTTTATTAATTTTATTTTTTATTTTTTACATAAAAAATTTAGTTTATTATATAAAAAAAGGAGCTGATGTGCAATAGTTGACAAAGTTATTTGAAAGTATACTTTGATTATGGTTAATAGTTATGAATGAAGATTGTTTATGAAATTAATGAATTTATAGGAAATGAAATAAAACCAATTCTACGGTATAAGTACAAACTTTTCAACATTCTCCCTACCCATCCTTCCCGTCCTATCCATCCTACCCATCCTACCCATCCTATCAATCCTACCCATCCTACCCATCCTACCCATCCTATCAATCCTATCAATACATACACTTTTCAGAACCCATACACTTTAAAATCTACATACCCAATCTATACATACCAGCCTACAACCTCCACCACTCCCTTATCTTCTCCCTTCAATCCCTTTTCTCCCTCAAATTCCTTCCCTACTCCCTCAAATACATACCCTACTCCCTCAAATACATATATCCGTACTCCCTACAATACATACCCTACTCCCTACCCAGTCCTTCAAGCTGCGATAAAAGAAGATTCAGAAGAAACAATGATGTCCAAGGAAGCTGACTTTATGGAAGCTGCTAAAGCAACCATTGAAGGAGCTGGATATAAAGAAGCTGCAGAACCTATCGAAGAAGCTGTTGAAAATGAGAAAGCTGTAGAGCCTACCAAAGTAGCAGTTGAACTTGAAGGTAGAGAGGCTGCTTCAGTTGTTGAGGAGGAGCTGAATGATGTTGTTGAAGTTAAAGAGTCTGTAAAAGAGCTGAATAATGATGCTATAATCAGGTAATCCATTACAATTCAGGCTGAAGCTCTACTTTTCTTATTCCCACTTTTATGCAATCTGAAACTGCAAACATTGGATATTTCAAATTTTTAATCGCAACCTAAAACTGAAAACAATGGATATACTTAAAATTTTTAATCAAGCGAATTCAAAGTTTAAAATATCAAAGATCTACGACATCCGGTTGCAAACTCATGCAAGGATTAAAAGATTAGAGTATGAGAGAATGATCTGGTTCCTCTGTTAATTTTACGAAATTGTGTGTTAGAAAATCTCTATTTTTATTTTAATGTGAGAAATCTGTAAATTGTAAAATGTAGGTGGCGTCCAAAACTTTTTAAATCTGCACACGTAAAAAGTTAATTTGATTTTTTAATCTGAAAATTAGATAACTATCTTTACACTTCCGTGTATCTTTTCATCTATTCATCTTTTCACCTATTCACCTATTCATCTATTCATCTATTCATCTATTCATCCTACTATCATCTATTCTACTATTCTACTATTCATCTATTCATTTGTTCATTTATTAATCCTTTCACCTATTCATCTATTCATCTATTCATCCTTTCACCTATTCATCTATTCATCTATTCATCCTTTCATTTATATCTGTTTAGGAGATATTCCTACAAATTTTTGAACAATCCTCATGCTTCAGAAATTAGGTAAAATTTATTTGAAATTAATCACCATCTTTCTCATAATAATAATTGGTTCAATCTTTGAATACTATATAGTTTAGCCCAGAACTTG